ATCCAGGTGCAACTTATCTGCTTCTCTGCTTGAGGCGCTTTCAAGGCTGCAATGAAGGTGTTGGCTGAGGCTGGGGTCTCATGTGAAAGCTTGACTGGGGAAGGATTCTCTTCCAAGCTCACATGGTTGTTGGCAGGATTCATTTCCTTGTGGCCTGTTGGACCGAGGGCCTCACCTCTCAGTTGGCTGTTGGTCAGACGCTACCCTTAGTTCCTTCCCACGAGGGCCTCTTCAACATGGCAACTACTTGCAAGACAAACATGCAAAGCAGAGAAGACAGCAGGGAGTCTGTTGTAACGTAATCACAGAAGTGACATCCCCTCTGTATTTTTTTTTTCCAGTCAGGATCTCATTCTATCACCCAGACTGGAGTGCCATAGCATGATCATGGCTCACCATATCCTCAAACTCCTGGGCTCAGATGATCCTTCCACATCACCCTTCCGAGTAGCTGGGACTACAGGTGCATGCCACCACACCCATCTAATTATTTGATTTTTGTAGAGATGAGGTCGTGCCGTGTTGCCGAGGCTGGTCTCTAACTCCTAGGCTCACGTAATCATCCCCGCCTCGGCCTCCCAAGGTCTGGGATTACAGGCATAAGCCACCACACCTGGCCTAATGTTGCTGTATTCTATTGTTTAGAACCAAGAGGAGGAAGGGAAGTGGATTCTTACCCAAGGCCAAGAATACTAGGACCAGGGATCACTGGTGGGGGTCATCTTGGAGGGTGCCTACCACAGACGCCACCAAGAGCATATGCTTGTATCAATTTTACCACAACCTTGCTAACACTAAATGTTCTAGCGTTTACAAATTACTAGTATAGTTGGTGTAAAGGGCCATCTCCCACCTTAATGTCCTCTTCTCCAACCTGGCATCTCTCCTCAGGGCCACCTGGGTCCTCCGCTCTCAGTGGCTGCCAAATAATTCCCCAAAGATGTCAACAGACAGCAACCTGAAGAAGTGCCCTACCTGGGGCCTTGAGAAGCTTAAAGTGAAGCCATATTAGGTAGCAATGAGTTCTCTGGGTGGGTTTCGGTCTCAAGGAGTTGCTGGCATTTGGGCAGCAACTCCAAGACCTGAGCACCTTATACCATTTAAAAGCATGAACATTTAGGAAACCAATCTTCTTTTAAAGCCTACTACAGACTCTCACCAGGCTCCGCATTTTGCAAACTTTCTTTTACTTTCAACATCAAGGCAATCCTGTAGGGATACATATGAATAGCCCCATTTTATAAACAGGAAACTCAAGATCAGAGGCATGAAATCACTTGTCCAAGATCGCTCTGCTTAAGCGGTAGGGCCAGGATTTACACCCACAGCTGCCTTTCCACCCTGTTCTCTCCCTGTCCCCTGAGGTCCCCTCGTCCTCAGCTGGTGTCCGCTGCAGGCCCCTGACACTCTGCCCTTTTGTCCCATCCCACTCTGGCACTAAACATGATAGGTTGGATGCCGTCCTCGTCAGCTCACCGGAAGGGTCTCCCTGGAAGTTGTGCTCACCGACTGTTTTTTCCTCATGAGAGAGCCCGGAAATTCACTTGTCACCCAAGCGCGAGGAGAAAGGCTATAGAGTCCACAGTCTAAGTCTGTACTTTGAAACCTTCAGCATAAATAGGACACTATATATTTAGTGTTTTGAGAATGACATCTGGAGCCAGACTGTCAGCTCCAAATCCTTGTTCTGCCATTGAACAAAGCTTCATGATTTAGGGCAAATGTCTTTACCTTTCTGTGCTGTTTCCTTGTCTGTAAAATGGAAGTCGTACCAACTACAACCCCAATTGGGGATGAGAAAATGTCTCTAAGAACCGAGCGGCGTCCGGTGCATATAAAAGCCCCATTATATTACTAGAGGGACGTGGAGGGCAGGAGATGAACAGGAGGCCCCACTGGGCAGGCGTCCTGCATCTACCTGGACTCAGCCTGTGATCTGTGCACACATGCGGGTCAGGGTTCCGTGTGTGCCCACCTCCAGGCGCGGCTGAGTGGGGCCCTGCATTGTGGACGCTGGCGGGGACAGAGGCAGTAGGGCCAGCCAGGGTCGGGGAGGGGCAGAGCCAACACCAGGACCATGACTCTGGGACTCCCCGCCCTGCATTCTGGCTGTGTCCCGATGTGAGTGTGGAGGAGGTGGCCTTTGTGTGCTGATGTAGCTTTCTGTAGGTCAGCCTAATGCTGGGTCTGTGCCGACTGCTCTGGGGTATGAATCTTTGCGCCTTCACACCCAGAGAACCATGAACCTGGGACGGGGGAGGCAAGGCCTGAGTCAAGAGAACAGTGTTGTCCAGGGCAGAGTGCTGGTGACTGTGGCACGTGGCAGGCATCTCGGAAGGAAAGATGCAGGATAACATTTACAGGGCAACGTTCTACCACCTGGCTCAGCTGTAAAGCCCTAGAGAATGTTTCCTCGCCCTTTCTGGGATCACCCCTGAATCTGTGTGTAGAAACACAACATATCTCAAAATCCTCCTAAAGCCTTGGAGGGCCGCTGGTGCCCTGGGTAGGAATCTGTGCCCTACAGGAAGTCACCTACAAGTGTCCTGGTTTCCCCACTGAAGACAGCAATAGCGGGGGACTGGGACCAGGCCCCGCCCTCGGAAAGTCCAAGGTGGGAAGACAGGACAGACAGGGTCAGACAGGACTCACAACGGTCCCCTCCAGGGCAGACAGCCAGCCTTACTGTAAATGCTAAGAGGCTTTAGGACGCAGGGCTGTGTCTGTTGTAGCTTAGAGTCCTGTTCATTCATTTAAAAATATCATGTTTCTAGCCAATGACACTACCCGATAAAATATGATGGACAGCCTCAGTCCAGAGCTGTAAACAAGACACACAATCCTGCCATTGTAGATATTACATTTCCGCAGAAGAGATGCTAAATCCCAAACTCCATGATAACTGAATTAGTTAGCCATAGGACTGGGGAGAGGTTTCAGGTGTGTCGCTGTGCACAAATGGAGATCTGACAAGAGGAGAGAAGGCTTCTCTGGGTGAAGTCACACCTGAGTGGCCGGGTCCCTGGGCTTTCCTGCCAGAGGCGCATAGAGAACCGAGCAAAGAGCAGGCTGGGAGAAAGCGTCCCAGATCCAGGACGCAGCGGACGTGAAGCCTGTGTGGAGAGGAGCGGGGAGAAGTGAAGGAACCACGGGGCTGGGTGAGGCTGGGACCCCAGAGCTATCCCAAGGTGGACACGGGGTGGGTGGGCGATGCGGGTTTGGCCAGAAGAGAAGGGGATGTCCCTAAAGGGTTTCAAGCAGAGCCACCCCGTCAGACCCATCCTTCCAGCAGCCGGGAGAGGTGGGAGAAGAGCCAGAAGAAGAAAAGGAGAGGAAACAAGAGCCGCTGGGAGGGAGTGCCCCTTGGCAGGGTGCTGGCCTAGCCTCAAGTGTGGAAGAGTGGACGGACCGTCAGCCCAGAGCAGGCTCTCTTAAGGGCTGCTGTCCGCCGGCCAACCCCCAGGGAGGGGTGTCAGCAGGAGTTTGAGGCAGCTTGAGCCAGGATTTGGGAAATGGACAGAGTGCAGGAAGGAAGTGGACACTCACACACACACACACACACACACACTGGTGGAGACACCAAGGCGGGGGCATATAAGGCTTGGGGACTAGGAACAGCCCGTGAGTGGAGACAGTTTGTGGCTTGGAGTAGAGGGAGACGAGGGAGCCGGTCAGCAGTTATGGCTGACGTCACCACCTTGGCTCCTACGGTACTGAGAGCAGGCGGGTGGAGGTAGCGTGGTGAGGGTGGAACCATCAAATTCAGACCCCCAACTACACTTCTTAGGAATCAGGTGGCCCCACACAGTCTCGGGCCCTAGGCAGCAGCTGGGTGACCTCTCAAGGGGCCGCATGAAGTGATATTTCCCTGAGTGAAGACTGGTTCATTCCGCCTCTGCCTTGTCCGTCCATCTAGGCCCTCACTGAGCCCGCGCCCAAGCCGTCCTGGGCACCAGGGGCCTGTGGGATGTGGAGGCTGCTCTGCCTCAGGAACTCAGCCTGCCAGGTCTGGAGTGGGGACCCAGGGCTGGCACAGCCCAAGCTCCAGCCGTGGTGAGGGACTCAGCAGGAAGCTGTGCCACCCCGCCACACGCCCAGCAACCCCCGCCCGACCTTCCTCGAGGTCTCAGAGCCACCAGCCCCCTGGGAGGGCTGCCCCTGGTGTGCAGCCTAACCCTTCGGCCTGAGTCCTAGCGAGGCCCGAATGCTTCCAAGCTCTCCAGGGGAAAACATCATCTCCAATCAAAAGAGGCCACGAAGCCCAGCCGAGCCTGGCTGCCCAATCACACTGTCCTCCCCTTGCTCTCCCGGGGTCTCCTGTCTAAGGAATCAAAACTGGGGTCTGCTCCATCCACCACCAGAGGGCTCAAGGAAACAGGCTGGGCGGGACGCAGGCTCCCCATGGGTCTCCAGGACAACGCCAAGCCCCGTCCACTGCCCGCCTCCACCCCTCTGCTCCCCTCACTGCCCCCCGCAGGCCAAGCTCACTCCACCCTGCCGCCTCTCCTCTCCAAGCCCCAGCCATGCTCTGAGCCCTGGGAGCTGATGGCTCTGAGCTGTGACAACTCCCTTCCTGCAGAGACTGTCTTGCAGTGGTCTGTTCCCTTCTCCACCTCCAGGAGAGGCTCCTGCCAAGTCTCCCCCACCCCAGGTCTCGCCAGGCTCCAGGAACACTCCTCTCCCCTCAGGTCCAGGGGCTCTCCTGGGTCCCTCTGTCCCTTGTCAGTTCCCCCCACTCTGAGTGTACCATCTGCATCTGCAGGACCCTGACTGATACCACACCCTTAACGCCCCACCTTAAAACAGCCTCTCAAGTCCACATCACTTCTCCTCTTGGCCTCTTTAAGTCTTTTAACCTCTAGCACAGTCAAGGAAAACTAGAAATGACCACGAGGTAAACCAAAGGGCGGTTCTGCGTTGTAGGAAAGTGTCCACATGCCGCAGGCACCTCTGGTGAGCATGGCCCGACTCCCACAGCCCACTGGCCTTTGAGAACCAAGAAGGAGGGATGTCCTGTTTATTTACAGCACCCCCTCTCTGCCAGGCCCTGGTGTTCACGGCCTCATCCAACCCCACAATCCCGTAAGGTAGTTTACATCATTCCCACTTTACAGTTCAGGAAGCCAAGGCTCAGATCCATAAAGGGACTCGCTCAAGGTCACTGAGTCCGTAAGAGGTGGTTAGGGGATAAGCTCAGCCACTTGGTTCCAAAGGCTGCGACTTTTCTGCCCTTCGGCGAGGGGTGCAGAGGCACCAAGAGAGCCCCCAAAGTCCATGGCAGAGTGACGCCTGCACAAGCTGGAATGGTCCTTGTGATGAGCCATCAGGAGCGGCCTGGACCCAGCGTCACCCTCCACACCTGCAGCACAGAGTCCCGGCGGCTGGTGTAGGGCAGATGTTTGATGCGGAACCAGTGCCTGGGGACGACGTTCCCGCTGGGCGTGTACAGCTTCTCCCCACGCCTGCCCAAGAGGCTGCGCAGGGCCTGGTTGCCCGACAGGACCTTCTCGTAGAACTCCACTGCACCCCTGGCATAGGCTGAAGAGAGGGCGGCCGTGCGGCGGTCCAGCCAGGCCTCCAGGGCGTGAGTGAGCGAGTCCGTGGAGAAGGCATAGGCCACAAAGCCCGCCACTGCTGCCACCAAGTTGAAGGCAGCCCGTAAATTCATGGGGCCTCCGTAGAGCCCCAGGGCATGCTTGGCACTCACACCGAGTGCCCAGGTCCCTGCCAGGCAAGCTGGAGCTGGCAGGGCCTGCAGGGAGGCTGCACCACTCTCCAGGTACACCACCTCCCTGGCCAACGCGAACTTCTGGGCTTCACGGGACAGGGTCAGGGCATCTCTCAGCTGGGCGCCTGCTGGGCTCTGCCAGTCCACTTTTTGCCCATGCACAACCACAGGGCTGTCAGTCTCGGCCACAGGGCCTCCCAGGAAGCTGGCGGGGATGCCCACCACGGCCCCAGCAGGGAGTCTCGGGAAGCCTGCACTCACAGGCTGGAAGGTGAAGGCGGGGAAGGGCTTGTAGCGATGGCCTGCGGGGATGCCCATGTCCTGCAGCACCTCTTGGAAGAGGCTCTGCAGTTCTGGAGAGACCGGGGCTGGCTGGCCCCGAGGCCAGTACTGGTAGAGCCATTGGACCACGGGATCCGGGAAGAGGTGGTACGAGATCTGAGCCCCAAACAGACCTGCGCAGGAACCCGCCAGGAGGCCTGTCCTGTGTCTCTGCACAAACGCCGCGGTCCGCCACAGGAGACCGGCCATGAGTGCTGCCACCGCTGACAACCTGAGCCAAGAAAAACAGAGGTCATCAAAGGTTCTCTGGGTCGGCCTGCAGACCGAACAACCTCCGAGGGCCACGCCCTCTTTCACGGAAGCAATACAGCACAGAGGCTAAGAGCCCGGGCTGCAGGGCCAGACTGCCTGCGTTCAAATCCCAGCCCCATCTCTGGGCATAATCTCCCCATGTGCCAAACAGGCAGGTTGTAATGGCCCACCTCTAGGGTGGCTGTGATGAGACATAAAACAGTCAGTGTCCCGCACAGAAGCAGACCCCTTATATTAATGGCTGGGATTACTATTTTTCTTTCCATGGTGAGACACAGCACTGAGTACCCAATGGCCTCACTCCATTCATTTCATGGTAAAGCCCCACGACTACTAATTTATAAATGAAATACGTGCTCAACTAATTGAGGGTTTACTATATGCTAGACATGGTTCCAAGAACTTTCCATACGTTATCTAACAATTAAATCCTCACAAGCTCCATGACCTAATTTCTACAACTGCCCCTATTTTAAAGCCGTTAAAATGTAAGTACACTGGCTCAAAATTCAAGCTGGTAAAGTGGTAGGGTTATGGACTGAATTGTGGCCCCTTAAACGCACGTTGAAGTCCTAACCCTCAGTATCTCTATGACTGTCTTTGGAGACAGGGTCTTTAAATTGGGTAATCAAGATAAAATGAAGTCACTAGCATGGACCCCAATCCAGTATGACCGGTGTCCTCACAAGACATTAGGACACAAACGCACACTGAGGATACAGAGAGAAGGCTACCATCTCCGGGCCAAGGAGGGAGGCCCCAGAAGAAACCAACCCTGACCACACCTTGGTCTTGAACTTCAAGCCTCCAGAACTGTGAGAAAACAACTTCCTGCTGGTTTGGCCACCCCATCTGTGGTACCTTTAAATTTTTAATTTAGTTTTATTTTATGGATGCCTAAGAATTGTGGTACTTGGTTATGGCAGTCCTAGCAGAAAACATAGGAGGAACAGTATTTGAACACAGGCTGGGTGTCCACAGCACACTTTTCAGTTTCGAAAACTTGTCATGCTAAATTACAAACATAAACAAAAGTGGAGAAAACAGTACATCAACCAACTTGAATCCCACCAACTCGTGGCCAATCTTGTTTCATTTCTCCTTCTATCTGCACCTTCCACCAATCGGTTTATTTTGAAATATCCCAGGCATCCTATAATTTCATCCGTGAATGTCAGTAAAAATTCACAGCTATTCAACTATCGAAGCTTCCTGTATTCCTGTCTGTGAAAAGTGTTAATCAGCGATGCACTGTGGCCACCAAGAGCGCAGGGTACCGCTTGGCCTATTTAATCAAGAACTCTTCCAAGAGCCTTATCATCTGGGCCTTTTTCCCAGTGCGGAAACAGAGGCTAGGAAAGGAAAGCTCCTGGCCCAGGTGCCGAGGCTCCAAAGCCCCCGGGAACCCCAGCGCC